TTCACATCCTTAAAAGACTCGGGCAATGAAATCAGCAAGATAATAGCTTGATTTTCTTCCTCCACTTTTTCTCCGATATTAGCCAGATCAATAATAATTTTATTGAAATCATCCAGATTCTTCTCTAAAGACTTAGTCGTATCCATCTTGAAACTAAACAGACTCTCTTTCAAATAAATCTTGTTTGTCAAAGACTTAGTCATATAGAGCTGTTCAAGTTTCAACCATACCTTAGCCGCCGTATCTTCGTCGTTTACTTGCCGAAGAACATTGTCTGCAAGATATAGAATGATTGTAGAGAAAGCAATCTCTTGCATCTCTTCTTTCTCGGCATCAGTGGCAGTGACATCCTTCATATCTCCTAGAGCCTTGGCAACCTTTTGCTGTACCAAGATAGCCCTCAATTTCTTCCTCCAGAGGCCGAAATCTCCCGAGCCATCGAATTTCTCCAATTCGAATTTTGCAGTCCCCATTCTTCCTGGCATTTGATTTGAATCTTGATTGTAATTCTTGAACTGGTCTTCTTTCTAAATCTTCCCTTGATTGTGATCTCCAACTGAAGCTCTGATACCACTGTTAGAGTGATTCTAACACAAGATTCAGAATTGAACCAGAAAAACTCAAATCAAGAACACAAAAGTTTTATCGAGGTTCGGATAAAAACTATCCTACGTCCTCGCGAGCTCCTTCACAAGAACTCGATCCACTAGATTGAAGAATGAGTACACCCTGAAGAACTCTCAATTATAGAACTCACAGACTCAAGCTTCGAAACAATTACAAAGACAAATCTCAGTGTTTCCCAGAAAGAATACCCAGTGAGTAAATCCCAACATACCCAGATTCTCTCAATACCCAGAACACTGAAAAATTCCCCTCAATCTCTCTTGAGAACAAATTGTTTCTCTCACTACAATCTTTTAGTCTCTCTCTCTAACTCTGTAATTTCTAGGAAGGCTAAAGAAGAAAACGACTTGGTCTTCTATTCTAGATATATATATTATGTCCTTCAAAAGTTGGTGCACACGTGGATTCATCTTGGCCATCTGTCTTTGATGCAATATGATGACTCAGCAAGTAAAACTTTGCGTTTTACTCTAAGTGGTTGAGAACAACAAAGCTGCTTGTCATTTATGCCTTGAGGGTGTCGTTTCTTCTTCAATGTAATGTTTATATCTGGAATTACTTCAACATCCTCTATGTTATTTTATTTTTTGTCTAATTATATTTGTGTGATCTAATTTCTCAGGTCGAATTTGGATTTGATTCTTGTTATCATGTGCACACAGGGATCCTTATTTCAAGAGTTGTGACAGCGTAAGTATCCTAGTTCTTCACCAATTACCACCCACTTTATAATATGCAATTTCATTTAGTACAATAGAGATATGGATATAATTAACAAATGATTCCATGTTTATTAATCTTCTACTTCTCTGCAGAGTGATTGTCCAATTCCTTTGCAGCTACATCACACTTCCTCTCTATGCACTTGTTACACAGGTGAAGTATTTTTCCTTTAGAAAAAAAGACTGTCTACGGTACACAGTCCTATTAGTAGGATCAGTTTTCTGATCGTTAAATCTTGTCAAAATTAAATGAGATTGAAAAAGTATGCATAACAGACAATTTATGATATAAATTTAATGGCTAAAAATAGCGGAAAAAATAAAATTACCGATAGTTATATTTTTCTGATCCTGCCGAAAAAACTCCCTAAAAAGCAAAATACATGAAAGAATTAATTTCACAATGAATATTATGAAATCAGATGTATAAATCACCTTTTGGGACCTTTTTATCAAGGAAAAAAAATAATATTGGCATCTTTTATGAAATTTAAAAATAAGGACTTTCTCCAGTATGCCGTCATACCAGTAGATCAGTTTTTTGACCGTTAGATCTGATCAAAATCAAATGAGGTTGAAAAATATGCAGAACAGACAGTTTCTGATGCAGATCTAATGACTGAAAACGGCTAAAAAAAAGAAACTACAAGTAGTTTCATTTTTCTGGTCTTATGGGAGAAACTGCCTAAAAATAAAAGGAGAAGTGGACTGGCAGTGCTTAATAGATTACTAGTTCGGGAACCTAAGTGTCTAAATTTTTAAAATGGGAACTAATGCCAACAAATTAAGAGTTAATTTAGAAACCTAAGTGTCCAAATTGAAAAAAAAAAAAAAAAAAGAGTACCAAAATTTCAAAGATTACAAAGTTTGGCGACCCAAGGCGTAAAAATCCTTTTTTTATTATTTTTTATTGTGAGTATCATTTTCCAAAATTAAAAATAAAACACACATACATAATATAGTTCTTATAGTTTCTTCAAATCTTACCCAAGAAAATGAACAACATTAACAATTCTTACCTAATTTATTTGCAGATGGGTTCAGAATACAAGAGTAAAGCGATAGAAGAGCAAATGGGAGGCATTATGAGGCGTTGGGTGGCCGAGGTTAGAGAGAGAAGGAAAAACCAGTTGGAGCAATCCTTGCAATATTCTGTGCGTACTTCTTTGTCAGCTGAATGGAGTCCCAGAATCAGTACTGCTAGTGCCAATGAAGTTCCTCCTTTTATGAGAAACAAATCTTATGCAGAAGAAATCATGGAAGAAAAAGATCAAGAAGGAGAAGAAGAAGAAGAAGAAGAAATACAATTACAAAGAAAAAAAAGAGTGACAATCATTCAAGGAGAGAGTAGCTTGTCCAGAAGTCATCATCGACGCGTAAACGAAATAAATAAATATGCCGAATAACGATCTTTCTGATCTTACCAAGCAATATGAAACAATGTGACAAAACAATATGGATTACTTTAAATGTAATCAATCAAAATGAGGTTTCCACTTCCTTTCATATATCCCTATTCAATTCCCTGATACGATTTTCATTGATTTTTATTTATTTATTTATTGTATTTATGTTTATTTACATCCCTATTACAAAGAAGGATCAAAGCGATATATTTGATTTTCTAAATACACAAGGCTTCCACGTCCTTATCAATCAAGGTTCCTAAATTCATTCAAATGCGAAAATAATTTTTTTTTAAAAATCAAAATAGTATTATTTGAAATTAATTAATATAATATAAGTGCATAACATTAATATATTAATAACAAATCGTCTAATTCCTTTCTTTTTCAAAAAAAAAAAAAAAAAAAACCAAATTATCTAGATGTTAGATTTTCATTGGACGATAACGCGTTACACCTGGGATTTCCTTCAATATTTTCAATAATTGCACTTCCCGTTTTGGATTTTGGGCTGCCACTATAAATACTGCCAATTAGTCTTCAATTCCATCATAAAAACGCAAATGCTTACTCCTAATTCGTACTTCATAAAGAGGCGACAACATTCACGAAGATCTCAGGTAATAATTCTCAACGTTTTGAAGAAGATACCTCCAATCCAAACAGCTTATTCTGCTATAATTTTTCTTTTCTTTTCTTTTTTGTACATTTTAGAGCTTTTTCCTTTCTTTTTTTTTTTTTTCTGTTTAAGGGTGTCATAGTGTTAAAACTTATAATTGATATTTTCTCTTTCAGGCCATATAATTCTATACAGAACTAAACAAAATGAGTAGAAGTGGTACTCGAGTTTGTGGCTTAATTTTCTTAACTTGCCCTTGCAAGTCAGCTCTTTTCACAAATTGGGGCCTAATTAGTCCTGCAAATACACCAGCTGTCGCTCAAGAGGTACTATTGTAATTAAGTTCCAATGTTATTCCTTTTGAGATTTATGTTGTTATATTGTTGAAGGCTCCGTTCATTTCACTTATTCGAGTTTTGCTATAGTAAAAAACTCTCAGAAACAGTCACATCTAACTTTTTTACTACAGTAAAAAGTTCACATAAAATCACATCTCAACTCAAATTAAAAACTCGAATCAACGAATTAAACGGGCCATGAGTAAAAAAAAAGTTGTCAGTATCACATGACAAAAAATAAAAGAATCAGATATCTCACATAGTTTTAATGTTATTAATATACATAGTGATTGTATGTGATAAATAACATTTTTCAATATTTTAATTATCAATTAAACACCTAAAAAAGTGATTTTTTTTATACCAACTTAATTATGACTTCACATTGATCATCATGATAATTATAGTGGTTGATTTAATTTTAAGTAGTTTGTATTTTCTGTAAATATTTAGTTTAGCATATACCGTCTTTCTTAGGAGATTTGATAAATTTAAAATCTCATTCAAATATAGATAAATTTTATCTAGACACTGATTGTATTCTCTCAATTTTTTCTAGATTTTAATTTATATTTTGAGTGGCATAAATGTAAAAATAGCAACAACAAAAAAAAAAAGGTGTATACGTAATTTTCTCATTTATAATTTGTGTATTTATATGGAACCTGTTGATACTATATTTCTCACTAGTAAATTATCTTCATTTTCCTAATATGTATATGTATACTATACGTGAAATTTCTGTGTTCTCTTCTCTCTTTTTTTTATTTCTTATTTTTAATTTTCAATCTATCAATTGGCTACAGGGTCGAAGCCATCATCTTTGTAAGTGGCATATATAGTGTACATAACTATGAGAAAAATAATATTATAACTCAAAAGTAGAATAAGAATCACAAGGTAAAATTCCTTAAAAGCCCACCTAGGAGTTTCTTTCTTAGGATTTACTGAATTTTTTTTTTTTTTTTTTTTTTTTTTTTTTTTTTTTTTTTTTTGCTTCTCATTTTCTTAGGATCCTACCAAGTGTGGCAGTAGTAGTTGGGGGAGACATTGACATGAAATTTTGTGGTCATGTTGTATTCATTAAAGCTGAGTTGTCTCTGTGGAAGGTTGGCCCTCACTTGTTAGTTGTTTCTTGGAATATTTTACAAAAAATAATTAACACAAAAAAAATGAGGAGTGAGAACAATTCTTCATTTCTAGCCACATCCTCCAATTACTCTTATGTGGTTCCACCACCTTAAACTTATTTTCCCACTTTCATTTGCATTCATTTGTTTTTCTTCCTTCTTTTACTACAAACACAACTCCCACTATGCATTTATTTTAGCTTCTTCTCTTCAAACACTTCCCTTTCTCTTCTTCTCTTCTCTTCTCTTCATGGCTAATGATTACTGTATGTCTCTTTTGGGAGCCATGGATCATCTTTGGTTCCACCAAATCATTCTTCTCTCGCCGCCCTTTTCGCTAATCGCCTCTCGAGGCCTCGAAACGCCTCGGCCCGCTTTAACGGACGCTTTTAAGTCCTCCATTTCATCTCTTGAAGATGAGAAGGATGAAGACCAATTATCTACCGATTTTTCGCCTACTACAGACGACTCGTCAGGATCACCACCAAGAACTCCTCAGGTAATAAGCAAATTCTCTCTCACTAACACACAATTTTGAGCTTAAAATTCTGATGTTGTTACTTTGATAAAAAAGGGTGATGAACAGAAGCTCATTGGTGCAAAGCAAAGACCAAAGAGGTCAAGCTTCGCCAGCAGAAGAAACCGATCACATTCTTCGTCGCCATCGAGTAAAAGATGCGCGGGAAATCTCAGATCCTCGGGTGCAACAAGTACTAGACTAGAGAAATTTATGACCTACAGGAGTTTGGGAGATCTAGAACTAAGAGAAGTTAAAGGGTTTATGGATTTGGGATTCATATTCAAGAAAGAGCATTTAAGCCCGAGAATGATGAGCTTGATACCGGGTTTACAAAGGCTTAAAGTGTACAAAAGCAAGGAGAATGGTTCTGAAAATCTTGAAGGAGATCAAGAAGAAGAAGAAGAGGAAGAAGAGAGAGGTGTAATTAGGCCATATTTATCTGAAGCTTGGCTTATAAAGAGACCAGGTTCGCCATTACTAAATCTAAGAGTTCCAAGAGTCTCAGCAGCCGCTGACATGAAGAAACACCTGAGGTTTTGGGCTAGAATTGTTGCATCTGAAATTCAGTAGGAATAATATTCATATATCATCACGGTAATTAGGTGTTGGATTTTCCAATAAACAGAGATTTTGAAAAGATGTCATAAGTGAGACACTCTTTGTTTGTTGTACTAAGTATGCAAACATAGCGAGATTTGAGAAAATAGATAATGAGGAGTGTTAGCTATCTGCACTCGCGAGTGGCACGAGTTTAAAATTTGAGCCACACTTTGATGTGGATCCAACAACATGGCCCGCATAAATTAACGGTCCAGATTTTGGAGTCATGAGTAGATCCGAGTGCAAGTGGCATTTTTTCATACATGTGTTTTGGCTGGAACTATAAAAATGAGTGTTTCATGTCACTCGAGTTTGTATATAAATCTATAAAGGAGTGCAAATCATGTTGTTTTGTTTTTCATTGATTTATTAACTGTCTTCACTTCCAAGAAGGCTGGGAAGCAAAGATTTGAGTAAGCTAAACAAGGAAAAATAAATAAATAAATAAAAGTTAAGGGAAAATGAAACGTGACATTGCATAAAAAGACATATTAGTTGCTTTTATTACATAAAAGGAGGTAAAGAGATAAGGCAATAAAGAGGATAAAGAGTTTTGAGAAAGAACAACCAGAAAAAGATGGCTTTGAGAATAGGCTAATATTTGCAGCCAATAGCTCCATTACAAACAATATTCCTTTCTTGTCTTATCTTTGTATAATATTCACATTTAGATCCTTCTGTTCCTCTCATGGCCAACCAATTTACCTTCATTTTATTCTCTTGGTAACGTAAGTGTTGTCCCTTGTGATAATTATTACCAAGAATATATCTAACTTTGGTCTAGATTTCACTTTGGTTGACTTTTCAGTCTGTTTTGTGGCAACAATATTTTGTAGGCATAACCTTATAGGCATAAAAGATCATTTTCATGTAACGCCTATCTGATGGTAATGGTAGCTTTCTAAAGAGAGAAAATTGTTAAACTTATCCTCAGACCTAGTTCATTTTACTAATTCGAGTTTTTAATTTCAGTTTTACTACAGTTAAAAGCTCTCACAAAAAATCACATCTAACTTTTCTACTACAGTGAAAAGCTCTCACATAAAATCACATCTCAACTTGAATCCGCAAACTGAACGAGATCTAAGTGTTTGAGTTTAGATTTTTACCTCTTACTCTTAATTACCTCTTACTCTTAATTAATACTATTTTGATTAATATAATTATTTAACTAAAAAATATTAATCAAGAATAAAAACTAAAAATTTTGACTCACATACTCTAGTGAGTATTTGTCTCATTTCTCTATCAAAAGAATTCCTTTCAAGGCCTGATTATTGGAGAAGTGGACCTGATTTTGGTCCAAACGGGTGCCGTATAATGCAAGACATATCTCAGAGTGATGGTTGTCATTGCCCCGGCCCTACTGGGTGTGGCTCTACTACTACTATTTGGGCTTTGGCAGTTTTTGCTTACCTGGATTTTAACCAAACTTTCTCTTTCCCCGCGATTAAAAAGGCGATTCGAGTTTATAATTTGAGTTTTATTATAGTAAAAAGTTCTCAGAAATAGTCACATTTAATTTTTTTTATTACAGTAAAAGCCTCTCACATAAAGTCACATCTCAACTCAAATCAACGAACTAAACAGGCTCAAAATTTGTCATTCTTCTGATGAGTCTAAAATTCGATATTCTAGAGCCTCATTTTGAGAACTCAACTGGGATCAATTAAACATGTGGTACTAAGTGGTGGTCGAAATGAAATTGAGATCTTTTTTTAGTTTCATAATTGAGTAACATCTTTTTCATTTTATTAGTGGTTAAGATGATAGAAGACGAGACGTCACTAATAATTTTTTTTTAATAAGTTAAAGAAAAAAAAAATTACTATTTACACTTACTAGCAAAGTTATTCAATTTTTAACCCTTACTACACAGCCAAAAGAAGAGGCGTCGCCAAAAGCAAAATAGAAATTGAACACCTTGTACTCTTTATGCTTTATCTTCTTGTTAGAAAATAAAAAATAAAACCACCAAAGGGTAGTAATTGAGAAATTGAAGAGATGAGTTTTCATAATGAATAATTTTCAAAAACCAACAATTGCTATTGTTTGTGTGTATCCAAAAAACAAAAAAAAACAAAAACAAAAAAAAAATGATATTATTCCGAGTTTTTTTTACCTTTTGAATTAGTAGCAAACCCATTGGCAAAATTAATTAAGGTGGCATAGTGGTGAATATATTTTCCACTTTTATTGAAAACTAATTTCTGTTAGTTTTTGCTTATATTGGTTAATTAACAAGCAAAATTAATAAAAAGAAGCTAAGTCCATCACATATTTTACCAACAAAATAAAGCTGAAAACCCATGACAATCCACGTACAATAAGTAGAACTAATAGAGTCATTGTCTAAAGTGGTTTATAAGGAAACTCTTTCCATATAATTGATTTTATGACATGTACTATAGTGATTACAACTTATATAATTTGTTATTAACTTTGACGTCAAGCCAAACAAGAAAGAAAAAAAAAATCGGATCTCAAAATTTTTGAATATAGAAATGTATTGCGCAATGGAAAGTTGTAGTTAATTTGGTTAACTAAAGACAAAACTTTCAATATCGATCACAACTAGTACTTAATATTAAAGTGCGCACTAATCTATTATAGAAGTATTTAATTTCTCACTTATAATCCGTTTTAATTTTGTGGCTTAGAAAATATATATACACATCTATAATTTCTTAACCACTATATTTGATTAGTGAGGTTGACATGGCAATCCAAATTTAGAGGTTGATTTAAAATAATAATAATAATAATAAAAACCCATCCACTTTTAACCATTTCATTTATTTAACGAAAATAGTACAAAATATGCCAATATGAAAAACTTAAGAAAGTATATAGGCTAACTTTTAGTTATAGGAATTAATAGGTCATAATTTGTGAAGTTATGGTTCATAATCAGATAAATTATGGACAAACTTGTCAAATTATGGTTCATAGTCAGACAAGTTATGGATAAAAACCGTAAATTATGGATAATAACTTGTCAAGTTATGGTTCATAACCAGACAAGTTATGGACGTAAACAGTAATTTAATCTATTTATTAACTTATGTAAACTATTAACCTATTAATTTTAAATCATCTCAAGTCTTAACTTATTTCTTTCTTTCTCCGTTCATTTAATTTACCCATACCACTAGACCAAAGGGTCTTGGGTTAAAAACTCATCACCGTAGAGGGCGGTCCAATGGGGCTCGGGTCGGAAGTTTATAAAAGTAAGAAAAACCCTTTTTTTCCCCGACATTGAAAAAGCTTTTTATAATTTTAATAAAAAAAAAAGCTTTAATTTTATTATATTTTTCTTGTCAATAACAATAAGTCATACAAGATTTTTAACATCTTTTCAACTTTGTTCCTATGAACTATGAAGTGTATATAATAAAAGTGAATATTGAAAATTCTTCTCGGGAAATGTTTCTCTTGGATTTTCAGCCAGCCACGTACAATGCCAACTTCTACAATTTATTATTGTCCAAAACCAATAATTTTGCCCCTAAAAAAAAAACCAAAAATTTTGGAATAGAGTGACATTTTTTTTTCTGAATAGAATAGAATAATATTTAGCTAATTAATCGAAGTACTATTTCCTTTGCTAACAACATCATCAATTGTTCGGTCATTAATTGTATTGCAAAAAATTCCAATAAAATAAGTTGTATCATATAATTATGCTTTATCCTTTTGGATATAATCTTAGCCACATTTTAACATACTTAAAAAAATAAAATGATATATAATTTACAACTGTGTACGTGTATAAATTATAGCTTGACCACTTTCTTTATTTTATTTATTCCATACTTTTTAATTTGGAAGCTGGGGACACAATAATACTACATTACAAAGATATTGAAATCCATTCAAACAAAATTAAATATTAAACAATTGAGATGAAGATGAAGAAGAAAGGGAATCTGATCTCATTATCGGAAATCAAATCCAAATTACGCATTATTGTCCTGCAACCATTTTCTTTTTAGTTTTTATTTGTTTCGTCCTTGTGGTTCAGAATCCTGCTAAATATTCAAAGGCCTAACCTGGCATATACCCTACATATATTACAAGACATTGAAATATATATATATATATATACATATATATAATGACTGCATAATGTGAACTAAATAATTATGTATATGGTCAAATTTTCATTCTATAGATCATTGCCCGAATATATATATATATATATGAAAAAAAATTGTCTCCAGTTGTCAACTGAATTAGTTAGGTACGTGTAATTTTTTGTGTATACCTCATAAGTTTATAACATCGTTTTTGTTTTTTTTTTTTTTTTGTAACTCTTAGCTTATATTAGTGTAAGATTAAATGAATATAGCCCAATACATTTAATATTGAGAGTTGTATTTAAATAAATTGAATATTACACCAACAAACACATAATATATTCATAAAAATATAAAAAAAAATTACATTTATTTCACTTTATGGCGGCCAGATTCCACTTATATGTATGCGCACATTGTTTTAGTTATACAATTTGCCGATATTTGATACTAAGTGGCGATTCGCGTGAAGAAAATAGCCTGTAAGTCAAAGAAAGTGGCGGAGTGGATAAGAGAAGGCTTCCAAAATTTAAAGAGGTTGTTCTTTCGCGCATTTTTTAATTAGAGTGATTTGAGTGATGATTTTAAGTTAAATTTAAGTTGAAATTGTAATTTGAGTCTGTGTTTAGATGTACACATTTAAGTTATGATTTGAATTGAGAATTTTTTTGAGTTTGTGTTTGGGTGAATCAAAACTTAAATTTGTATTTATATAATATTTTAATAAAAACTCAATGGTGATGAAAAATTTTAAAATGGTATATGGGTGAGGTTTTATTCGTCTTTTCATTATGAATGCATAGAAAAAAATCATCTCAATCAGAATAAAATAAAAAAGTTATGACATTTTTAAAAATAAAAAAAATATTTTTCATTAATTTAAGTTCGAGTTTATGAAATCTAGTTAAAGGAAAAACTTAAATTCGAGTTTAGCCTCAAACTCGGGCTCAAACTCAAATTTTACAAAAAAACATGAACTTAAATAAAGTTATAACTCGAGTTTAAATTTTTTCTGAGTTTCATCGTAAAAGAACAACTCTAAAGTCATTCGATGCATCACTTGTTGAGCACTAATGATTTTATTTTCACATATTAATAATTATATTATAATTTGATGTTGTTAATTATTACTTTTATCTTTTCCATCGGGTATCCACTGAAACAATCCTATATAAAGGCTTGAAAATGGCCTAGCATAGTACAAGAAGCCAATTGGTGCTACTAAAGAGCCAATTTTTTAAGAGAGACAATATCATGGCCTCCAACAAGAAGCTCAACTCTTCCTTGGGCTTCATTCCGTTGTTGCTTTCATTTCTCCTGCAATGCCATTCTGGTAAATACTTTTTTGTAATTTTACCACAATTTTATTTCTTAAATTTTTTGTACTTTTGTATTATAGATCACCTTCTCTTAAGATGATTATATAATTATTACATTATTTTCTCATGAGTTAATTATTTTAAAATGTAGGCAAAAGTGAACTCCAGTTAAACTACTACGCAAACAGTTGCCCAAACGCCGAAGAGATCATCAAGCAACAAGTCATCAATCTATACCATAAACATGGAAACACAGCCGTCTCTTGGATTAGAAATCTCTTCCATGATTGCATGGTTAAGGTATGTAACATATATATATGTATAGAATCATTTATTGTTACTATATATTAAAGATCATAAGAATATAGTTGAAATATGATTAACAATTAAGTGGACGTTTAGTTTATAGATTCAGAATCATGATTCAGAAACACCGTAGAGAATCATGAATCATGATTCAGAATCAGAGACGAATACATGAAACAAACATCTCCTAATTTTCTATGCTTGTACTCATGAATCATGTGTTCTAGTCATGCGATGCGTCTCTTTTGTTGGAGAGCTTGAACGGAATCGAATCGGAGAAGACGGTTGAGAGGAGTTTCGGGATGAGAAACTTCAAGTACGTCAACACAATCAAGGCGGCCGTGGAGAAGGAATGCCCTCTCACGGTTTCTTGCGCTGATGTTGTGGCTCTTTCTGCTAGAGATGGCATTGTCATGGTATTCATTAATTTCCATTGCTAATTTATTATCATTGTTACTCAAGTGATTTAACACTAGAAAAGCAAAAAAACAAGAGTAGTATTAAGGTTAATAATTAAATTATATTTGTAATTACTTATTACATTAATTGAATAGAGAAAATAAATTTTAAAATCCTAAAGAAAGAGAGATATTTTTTTATATATGTTTTAATAAAAAAAAATTTTGATATAATTTCTGGCTATATTTTTTCATAAGTTGGGAGGGCCACGTATTGAGATGAAAACGGGAAGAAAGGACAGTAGAGAAAGCTATGCAAGTGTGGTGGATGACTTCATTCCTAATCACAATGATTCAATCTCTCTGGTGCTTTCCCAGTTTCAATCCATTGGTATTGACACTGAAGGAACGGTTGCTCTATTAGGTATATACTACTTTATATATATATATAATATAGTAAGGAGAACAAAAAAAGAAATATTGACATATTTACGAGAGAACAAGCTAGTAAACCTTGGGTTGCAATTGCATCCTCTATCTATATGGTCCCGAAAGAGACATTGACAAATTTACTAGACAAATTTACTAGACAAATACTTTACCGAGAGGGTACGTATAATTTACTACTAATCTCATTTTAGTCGTTGACTTTGAAAGTGTCCCGTAGTTAGTTCTTGAGGTTTTACTTTGTTTCAATTCGATCCTTCTGTGAGCTAAGTGTTAAATATTTGATAGAATCTTAAGGACCAAAATTAGAAACATCTAAAGTTTATGGACTTATAAAAAACAAAAGTTAATTTCTACATATAGTCTCTAATTTTTTAACTATTTTTAATTTTAGTCTCTAATTTACATAGATTTCGTTACATATTAACACCTAGTTAACGGAAAGACAGGCTGAAATAGAGTAGGACCAACTATGAGATGTTTTAAAAATCAGGCACTAAAGTGAGGTTGAGATTAAACTTAGTGAATTTAAGGAATTAATCATAAAACAAATAACATAAAAGAAAGAAAGAGACATGTCAAGCGCAAGTAGATATTATTCTATTGTGAAAAAATTATTAAACTTATTTTTAGAGTGCATGAGTCTGAATTTTTCCTCCATATTCTTGATTAATACTCTTTTGACTAATATAATTATTTGACTAAAAATTATATTAATAAAAAATAAAATATAAAAATTCATACTTATACGCTATAAAAATATTTGTCACCTATCTCCTTTTATCTACACGGGCCTAAGGTCTTCAATGGGTTGGTGGTATTAACACTAGAAATTAGATAAAGATGGCAGAATTTTGCTGTCTACTCCATAAATAGTTTTAAGTAAATAATTAGTTGGGATAAATAAAAGGTGAAATGATTAGTAAATAAAATATTTATCTCATGTAGTAAGTAATTAAATGATTCATCTACAAGATTTTTTTTTTTTTTTTTATAAGCTACAAGATAAATTTTAGCCTGATGAGAACCCACTGCTATCTCATAAATAAAGAAAAGACAAATAAAAAATCTTAGGAATACACACACAGTTACAAGTTACAACTCACCAAAAAAAAAAAGAGTTACAACTCACGAAACGATAAAAAGTAGCATCAAATTACAGTAGAAACTTTAGAGTTACTTTCAGAAATAGTAAAAAGCATGACAAAAATAGGTCAATATAAAAAGTTTAAGAAAGTATATAGGTTAATTTTTAGATATAGAAATTAATAGGTCATAACTTGTCAAGTTATGGTTCATAGTCAGACAAGTTATGAATAAAAATATATAATAACTTGTCAAGTTATGGTTCATAATCAGACAAATTATGAACAAAAATAATAATTTAACTTATTTATTAATTTATATAAACTATTGACCTATTAATTTTAATTCATCTCAATCTCAAGTCTTACCATATTTTCCTGTTTCTCCCTTTTAATCGGTTGTATTTTCCCAATTCAGGAGCTCACTCTGTGGGCCGAGTCCACTGCAAGAATCTGGTCCAAAGGCTCTACCCGACAGTGGACCCCACTCTGGACCCAGACTACGCAACGTACCTAAAGGGCCGGTGCCCAAGCCCAAATCCAGACCCAAATGCAGTTCTTTACTCTAGAAACGACAGGGAAACTCCAATGATACTCGACAATGTCTACTACACAAACGTGCTCAAACACAAAGGCCTACTCATCGTCGACCAGCAGTTGACCTCTGACACTTCGACTCTACCGTTCGTCGAAAAAATGGCTGCCGATAACGACTACTTCCACGAGCAGTTTTCCCGCGCCGTCCTCTTGATGTCGGAGAACAATCCCCTCACCGACGACCAAGGTGAAGTGAGAAAGGATTGCAGATTCGTTAATTAGTAACGTCTTTCAAATCTACCAAAATAAAGATTTTAAGACTTTGATAATCGATGTGAAAAAATGATCACTAGTCCGCTACCATAATTTAACATAAAATAGATCTTATATGTATACAAGATATGCGTGACATATTATGTGTATATATTATAGTGCCAAGACACTATAATGCTCAAACATCTCTTCTCATTTTCTTATGCTGTGTGCCGCAGAATTATGTAAAAATAAGAAAGAAAATATTGAGACTGAATTTCTATTTTTGTGCTTTTCGTTACCAAGGCATCGTTCATTTTTCTGATTCGAGTTCAAAATTTAAATTTTACTACAGTAAAAAACTTTTAAAAATAATCATATTTAACTTTTTTACTACAGTATAAATTCTCACATAAAATCAAATCTCTCGAATTAAAAACTCGAATCAGTGAATTAAACGGGTCCTAATTTTTTTTAAGACAGATTAGAGTGATTGGGCTGTGGCAATGCAGATCATCGACCTAACGAATGGTGGGTCCCACACAGGATTGGACCCCTACCAGCCACATGCAAGTGCAAATTCAGTAACAAGAAGCACATTTATAGACATTATTTTCGTTACAAATAGTTTGGTATAGAGATCTAGGTTGTACAGTGTAAATAATATTGGGAGATGAAAAAGTCAATAATTATCATCAAAACTGAAGACAGAAAAAGGCCTCAAAGCGAGAAAAAAAGCAAAGACAAGAGTGGGCCCTCTTGGTTGCGTGGCCTTGACGTGGATTGTTTGGTGGCAGTTTGAGTGTCGTGCACTCCACCAAGTCTTACAGTGGAATCGCATGCAATCCAGTCGTAGTCGTCCATCAGGCTTTTGTTTGTTTGGGCTTTTCATTGACTATCAATCACGAGCCACTGCCAATGATTCTCTTTCTTTTTATTTTATTTTTCCTTTTTGTGGATTTTGGGAAATTATTATTATTTTTTTTTGTGGCTAAACTTGGGGATTTATTTCTGTGTACATTGTGGATTGCTATAAGTTTGTCTTGTTCAGTTTTTTTTTTTCTTAAAATTGCATTGCAAATAAAAAAATACAAGCATTTATATCAACGACCTCATAATATAAGAAAATCCGATCTCGTACATTAATCAATACCACCAGTAAATTCAAACGAGACACTCAATAAATTAAAAAGCATGTTAAGGTTTGAATTAAAAAATCGAATGGGCACGTTAATTATGAAGCGCACATATAACTTTTAAGTAAAATCTTTACAATTGATAGAAAAATTCGATCAATCGAGATTAAGGCCTCGTTTATTTCACCGATTCGAGTTTTCAGTTTTAGGTTTCTACAGTAAAAAGCTCTCATAAAATGTCACATTTAACTTTTTATGCTACAGTGAAAAGCTCTCAGAAAATGTCACATCTCGCTCTCAAAAAATGTTACATCTCAACTCGAATTAAAAACTTGAATCCACGAAGTGAACGATGCCTAAATAAGTCCAAAGCACGCTTGAATTAGAATCTGCACAAAAATGAAGGTTTGCACAAGTAAAAAAAAAATCTAAATACACTACAAAATCCAAATCCAACTCACATATTTGTTGTCTCGGATTGCTTGCTCGTTGCAAATAAAATCCACCCAAATTTCAAAAATAATCCTTTTTTATAATTACAAAATCCAAACCCAACTCACATACTTAATCATAATTTTAAAATAATTTATCTTTTATATAATAAAATACAGATAAAAAATATAGGAAAAAAATCCCTAACAAATTTCAATTCACCACAAATATTTATATACTTGCACCTCATGTGAAAATCTATCTTTCTTTTTTTTTTTTTTTTAAAAGGACTAATGCATTTTTTTAAACGAAATAATGCATGATTTGCATTAAAACGTTCGCCACAATTATAGTTAAGTCTTAAAAACTATCTTGATTTGAGCCAAGAAAAAAAGGTCTTTGAAAACATCATAATTAAAAAAAAAATCTCTATTAGTACATGTGATTCGTTAGTGCATTTTCCACAAGTAATATACTAAAAAATAAATGAAAAGAAGAAGAAATCTATATATCAAATTGTTCCTTTGCGTTTCTCAAAATAAAATAAAATAGTTCCTTTGCGTACCTTCAAAACAAGTTTATTTCATAAAACAAATTGTTATTCCGCGACAACATGATTTACTACATCACTTACCCTATAGAAACCCATTATTTTATATTTGAAATGTAGAACAACCCGTTAATTAATTTCCTTTACTATAAAAAAATCATAATTACCATTATTATATATTCTGAAATTTCTCGTTTCTAAAAAACAAAAAGAAAAATAAAAAATAGTAATAATAAAAAGAAGTAACTCTTCCGTGACATATATACACGTTCTGGCAGAGATCTATCGGAAAAAGTGTGAACTGAAAGAGAGGAAACCCAAAAAAAAAAAAAAAAAAGAACTTTATTATTATTATCACCGAAAAAAATAACCGTTAGAAAAAAACACGTGTCGTCTGGTGCATCCACCTGTCAGCTTCGTCTCTCCTTTGGATTCTCTAATCTCACTCACTCTCTCTCTCTAAGTATTCCTTGTTTGCTTCCTCCGCTTTCTGTTTTTAGGCAAAGAATACAATCCTTACACCCATTCCGATTCCTCTCTCTCTCTCCTCTTTCTTTCTCTCTCTAGAAACTCTATACCGTGACTCTCTTCAGTCTCCAGTTCTTCACCTTCATCGTCATCATCTTCTTCAACCTTCCAAAATATCCACCAATGGCAGTCAGTTAGTTACAATTCAGTTACAACTAAACAATGACAAAACTTGTAATCTCCATCTTCAGTTTCATCGCCCTCTTCAGTGTTGTTACTGCCACCGCCGTCACTCAATTCGACTTCAGCACCCTGACATTAAGCAATCTGAAGCTCCTCGGCGACGCCCATCTCAACAACGGGAGCGTGCGTCTAACGCGCGACCTCCCGGTCCCGAACTCCGGCTCCGGCAGAGCCCTCTACACCAAACCGATAAGGTTCCGATCCCCCGGGACCAACTATCCGGCGACGTTCTCCACATTCTTCTCGTTCTCCGTCACCAACCTCAACCCCTCCTCCATCGGCGGCGGCCTCGCCTTCCTCCTCTCCCCCGATTTCGACTCGCTCGGCTCCGCCGGCGGCTTCCTCGGCCTCTCCGACTCCGCCGCCGCCGGGTTCTTCGCCGTCGAGTTCGACACCCTCATGGACGTCGAGTTCAGCGACATTAATGGAAACCACGTCGGTTTGGATCTCAACAGCGTTGTCTCCTCCGAGGTAGGCAATTTGGCGGATGTCGGAGTCGAACTCAAGAGCGGCGACTTGGTCAACGCCTGGATCGAGTACGACGGGTCGACCCGGATCTTCAACGTCTCTGTCTCGTACTCCAATCTGAAACCTGAAAACCCGATTCTCTCCCTCCCTCTCGATCTCGACAAGTACGTCAACGACTTCATGTACGTCGGGTTCTCCGGGTCGACCCAGGGAAGCACCGAGATTCACAGCGTAGAATGGTGGAGTTTCACTTCGTCTTTTGACTCAGCAATTTCTCCGAATTCTGGTTCGTCGCCGCCACCACCGCCGCCGACGGTTGTTTTTATGAACCCGGCGGCGAACTCGGCCAATTCGGCGAAATCGCCGCCTCCGTCTTTGCCTCCGACGGGGTCTAATTCGGCGTCGTCGACATCACAGAAAGAGAGTAAATCGTCCTCCTGCCATAACCAGCTCTGCAAGCAAGGTCCCGGGGCCGTCGCCGGAGTTGTCACCGCCAGTGCGTTTGTTTTCGCCCTCTTCGCCGGCGGTCTAATTTGGTTCTACTCGAAAAAGACGAAAAGAGTGAACGCCAACAAGTCGGATTCTTTCGCGTCGGAGATCATCAAAATGCCGAGAGAATTCACTTACAAGCAGCTCAAGCAAGCCACCAAATGCTTCAACGCTAATAGAGTGATTGGCCATGGCGCTTTCGGAACGGTTTACAAGGGAATTTTGCCGGAAACCGGCGACATTATCGCAGTGAAGAGGTGCAGCCATAGCAGCCAAGGGAAGGATGAGTTCTTATCGGAGTTGTCGATAATTGGAACTCTCCGGCACCGGAACCTCGTCCGCCTACAAGGCTGGTGCCACGAGAAGGGGGAAATTCTACTAGTGTATGACTTGATGCCCAATGGCAGCCTCGACAAGGCGCTTTTCGAGGCGAGAACGCCGCTGCCGTGGCCTCATCGGAGGAAGATTCTGTTGGGAGTGGCCTCGGCATTGGCCTATTTGCATCAAGAATGCGAAAATCAGGTTATTCATAGGGATGTTAAGACCAGTAACATTATGTTGGATGAAGGGTTCAATGCCCGATTGGGCGATTTCGGATTGGCACGACAAGTCGAGCACGATAAGTCGCCCGACGCCACCGTGGCGGCGGGGACAATGGGGTACTTGGCGCCGGAGTATCTTCTAACAGGAAGGGCCACGGAGAAGAGTGATGTGTTTAGTTATGGGGCAGTGGTTTTGGAAGTGGCTAGCGGGAGGAGACCTATTGAGAGGGATGCCAATAACAATAATGTCAAGTTTGGGGGATCGTGTAGCAATTTGGTGGAGTGGGTTTGGGGGTTACACCGCGAAGGGCGGTTGTTGGCGGCGGCGGACGCCATGCTCGGCGGCGAATTTGAGGAGAGCGAGATGCGGCTGGTTTTGCTAGTCGGGCTCGCCTGCTCGCATCCCGATCCGTCGGCCCGACCCACAATGAGAGGCGTAATTCAGATGCTCATTGGTGAGGCTGAGGTTCCTATTGTGCCCAGAGCCAAGCCTTCCACTACTTTTAGTACTTCGGACCTCTTGATGACCTTGCAAGACAGCGTTTCTGATTGTAACGCTGCGATCATCACAATTTCCACTTCTTCGTCGGAAAAGAGCTTTGACGGTGGGGACATAGTCTAGTTTAAAGCACACGGCCTTCAATAATCTTTATTTGTTATTTTGTTATTAGTAACTCGTATAGTTTTTTGTTTTATTTATATTTATACTTATTTGTTTTCTACGTACAAACACAATAATTGAGTCATTGACATGAAATATGAGGATTAGAGCCGAGGGGCTAATTCTTTTACTCTTTTTTTTTTGGTCATGTTCATATGCTTGTTGTCAATTGTACATTTGAGAGTGGATCGTCAAAGTGGTGGGAAGGGAAAAGAAAGTGGAAAAAAAAAAAAAAAAAAAGTGGGATCACATTTTCTAGAAGTGGGATTGGATGGATTCCTTGTTTTGTGTGGTGGGCGGTTGCTTTCACAAGTAATCTCAATTTTGTCAAAAGCATACATTTTGAGTAGAGAATTGGTAAAGTGGCACAAAAGGAGTGCGTATTTATTATTGGACCTTTTTGGAAACCTCTTTCTTTATGATCAGATGTTAGATAACGGATACTTATTAGTGTTAAATATTATAATTGTTCAGTATACCTTTTTATTTGTCTATTTTTTTTTTCCTCGGATTATTATCAATTGGGCTTTCATTATTCTTCACATGCATTTAACATTGAAAACTCTCTGCCAACGGCATGAGTTTTGTTTTCGTCAGCAATCAAATGCTTAGCTCCTCGTGGCAATATTCAAAAAGATACTCGTCCCAGTCCAGCTTAGCATGATCTTTTGTAATTGTCTCCATCTTAAGGCTTCTGGTTTTTTAATAATTTAGGGCTTATTCTCTTAGAGTTTAACTTGAGTATAATTCTTGAGTTAAATTTGAGTTATAACTTGAGTTGAACTTGTAACTTGAGTTTGTGTTTAGTTGTGTGTATTTGAGTTATGATTTGAGATAAGAATCTTTTTGAGTTTGTGTTTAAGTGAGTCAAAACTTGAATTTATATTTAGATGGTATTTTAATAAAAACTCAATGCTGATGAAAAATTTTAATAGAGTATATGAGTCGGGTTTTATTCGTCTTTTCATTGTCAACGCATAGAAAAAAATCACCTCAATCATAATTAAAACGAAAAAATTATAACATTTTTAAGAATAGAAAAAATACTGTTCATTAATTTGAGTTCGAGTTTCTGAACTCGAGTTGAAGGGGACCGTTCATTTCGCTGATTTGAGTTTAGAATTCGAGTTTTGCTACAGTAAAAAGCTCTCACAAACAATCACATCTAACTTTTTTGCTACAGTAAAAAGCTCTCACATAAAATCACATCTCAACTCGAATTAAAAACTCGAATCAGCGACCTAAACGTGAGTAGTCATAAACTCGAATTTAAACTTAAAAGAACATGAACTCAAATAAAGTTGTAACTCAAATTGCATTTTTTTAAATTTTTCACTCGTCCTTAATTCAATAGTAAGTGAATATAAAAAAAGTTTCAGATAAATAGAATTCACTCAAAAATTTTGTCTCAAAATGTAACAAAACAAAAGACGCTTTATTATTAAATACAATTCGAAACTGTTAGATTTTTAACGGATTTTGTCGTATTTTTCTTTGTTCACACAAATTCCAATTTTTCCTTCAGCTGCAAACAAAGTTCTCTCGGTAGCTAGAGATAAGTGGAAAGACAAGTACGGAAATCCAATGGTAAGTATCCACGTTAAACTCTTGGCACGTGTAGTAAAACCAGCAACCAAATTTATTTTTCATTTTTTTATTTTTTTTATTTTTTCTAATCAGCAACGGCTAGTATTTATACGCACTATGATTGGTTGTGGCGGCCACTTAGTCAATGTCGTTGTCAAATTGTTCCATCCATAAATAGTACGTCGTTTTGACAATGTTGTGACAAAGCTAATCTAGGGATTAGGGAATCTTGTGACTTGTAATACGCCTATTTGCATGCATAATTAATAGGATTCAATTATGCATGCAAATAGGCTGAAGCTGAAACTCCTCCTATGTTATGCTTACAAGTTGTATGGCCCGGCCCATATGCAGCTCAAAGCTGTCGAGTTTCTCAACTTCTTGCTCGTGATATTTTCTCATTTTGATTGGTCCATACTCCATAGTGTCTTGTTATATGTCTCTTTGCGCATGGAAAACTTGATTTATCCTCATTCTAAACGTGTCCAATATCCCCTTGTGCTATCGCAATTCATCACCCAAAAATTAGATTTTCAATAAAGTTACTATTTTTTTTCTTTTTCTAATAAAAAAGGGATTGATATTGTCCTGTCAGTTCAGCACTAAATCGATAATCTACTAAAACCATAAATAGAATAGAAAGAAATCTAACCGAGTTTTCATTGATTAAAATAAGATAATAATAACGAGAATCTTAATAGGTCGTCTTTCGCCATTATACTACAACAATTCATGGTAATCAAATGACTAGTTACACGGTCTAAACCCAAGCGACAATCATCACAATCAGCCTCCACAAATATATTATAATAAAACAATATTACAATCACCGACTTTTTTTTAACCAGTTTTACCCGAGTGATTGGAACATTCCACATTTCTTTCGTACTTAACTCAGTTTGACGAAAGCCCGAACTTCTAGGCATGGTGCAGAGTATCATTTTCAAAACCCATGTTTGGCTAAGAATATTTTATGCATTGAAGATGACGTTTGGTTCATGAGTTTAAAATTATGGTTCATAATTTTAATTTTTAAAATTTAAATTTTTTGTGAAAGAAACACTGTAACAGAAATAAGAATTATTATCCAAAATCAGACAGAACCCTGTTATTCTATTGAGTAGTACATACATAAAGTGGTTACATACTCATTAACCAAACATAACAGTCACAAACTTACAATATATGTTACATAATGAGCTAAATAAATTGCAAGGCGGTTGTGGACGTTTCTTATTGAAAGATGGGAGGGAGAAGAGATTTTTAATTAATTTTAATTAATTGATTAATTTTTGGTAAAAATACCTTATTGCCCACATCATTGACTTTGCCGCTAGAAACATCATGATTATTGATTAGGAGCCAACCAGGATTGTGCATTCTTAACCACTTTGATACTGACCTATTTGTTTAGTGGGTCCCTTTGGTAGGTCATTTTTGTCCAAGGAATACATGCGGAGTTTGATAATTGACATGAATCCATTCGATGGGAAATATATGGACAAAAACTGTACTTACAAGTCAGTTAGACTCACAGGCCCAGCCCTTCTTTTGAAGGATCATCTTTGATCTTTCTGGCTGAGTACTTGACATTTAGGACCCTCTTAGGCCCATTTTGTGGACCTACAATTTGGGCTTGTTGAGGCCCAATTTGGTAGAAGACGCCCTAAATGGGTGATTTATTTGGGCCATATCTGGATCCAGACAACTTCTATTTCCAGCCCAATTTATGCAAGTGTCGGCAAGAATCATCCAAATAGAGGCATTGAAATCTGGGCCATATGGTCCTAATTCTGTGTTATGACGATATTAGTGAAAGGCTGAGCTGTGAGCAGTGTTTTTGTGCAGTAATTTGACTGATTGTACTGTCTTCTGCTTCCTGTCTGTTTAATCGCGTATAAATACATGCTGACATGCAGAAAAAGAGAGATTTTGCATTCATCATGTACTTTTTCTGTATAGCCTCAGTGCCTATATATTACTCAAGATTTAGATCCCGTTTATTTTACTGATTCGAGTTTAAAATTTAAGTTTTGTTACAGTAAAAAGCTCTCACAAATAATCAAATCTAACTTTTTTGCTACAGTAAAAAGCTCTCACATAAAATCACATCTCAACTCGAATTAAAAACTCGAATCAGCGAACTAAACGGGCTCCTAGTTTCTTTCTCGTGAATATTAAGAGCCGTCCAAAATTTGGAGTGTAATTTAAATTTAATTTTTAAATTGAATTTGAGTTAAAATTGTAATTTAAATAAAGTTGAATAAAATTAAATAAAATTAAAATTTAAAAGAAAATTAATTTAAATAAAGTTATAACTCAAATTACTATTTTTTAAATTTTTTAGATAAAAGAACAACCCTAATTTGTTGGAAAAAAAAATACTCTAGAAACATCACGGAGTTGAGTACCCCAGTAAATGGAAAATGAACCCCATTGTGCATTGCTCAGCAATGCTCCTAGCATCGAGCACTGCTCTCATAGAGCTTTATTTATTTATTTATTATACATGATTAGCGTTAACATTGTTAAGTTTGAGTTTTGTTATAATAAAAAGTTCTAAAAAATAGTGACATTTAACTTTTTTATTACAGTAAAAAGTTTACACATAAAGTCACGTCTGAATTCGAATTAAAAACTTGAATCAGCGAACTAAACGGACTTTATATGTTGATAGAAATATTCGTTGAATGCCCTATCTCTACTCATCGAACAAAGAGCATGTCCCTCAAACCCTACTGAATGTGCTAATGGACGGGGATGTAAGGGCGTGGTCACAAACACTCTAAATCGAGTACTAAGTTGATAACTTTAAAATACTTTACACTTAAATCTGTGACTACAAATCCACCACGGTATTTTATTACCACTATGCCACCACACTCGTAGTTCCTCTTACCGACCTTGAATTTGAATTTAAATCACTCACCAAAAATAGATGTTTGCAAGGCAGGAACATTTTTATTTTGGTCACGTTACTCATCTAATATTGCTAGTGAAGTAACGTGGCATATTTATGACTCATGTGACACTTCATTACCTACTTTGCATTATTGAAAATGACGAACTAAGCAAACTGAGTACATGGTGAAGCACCATAACATACATATTTATACATAGAGCATACATATATGCACATAGACGATCCAATAAGCATGATATTTGGTTTGAGAATCTTGTTTGAAATTAAAGTCATTAAACAAAGAAACGCAATAATCTTATTCAAATATGTCGGTCCAAAATCACATATGCATATCCCCAACACGACAAATTGGCAATAATCAACGGCATGATTAATATAAGATTTCGGTTTTTTCTTTTTTCTTTTTAAAAAAGAGATCTCTAATATACATTAAAAAAATTGAACTATATTCTGGATGCGTTTGAAACTCGTTCTAAAATAATTTTATTTTTTATTTAAAAATAAAAACATTTTTAATCTCAAATAAAATTATTTTTAAAAATGTGTTTGATAATTTTATCTATAAATTATTTTCAATATAAAAAATCTCATTAATATATATATATATGTCTCCTCAATAGAATAGAAAATAAAAACTGACTAAAAATTATTTTTATTTTTATTTTATTTTATATTAAATTAAAAAATTATTATTTTTTTATTTTTTTTATTTTTATTGTGTTAAATACTGATTTAAAAATATTTTATTTTTTTTCTTAAAAAATATAAAAAATAAAAAAAAAGATAAATTTTAAATACAGTATTTATTTTAAACTGTTAAATTTATATAAAAAATGATTCATTTTATATTTTTTTAATTTAATATATATTTCGGTGATCAGAAATACCAATAAAAACGTGGGGCGGAAAAAGAACCGAAAGAAGTAAGGGGAAAAAATGCCAGGTGGGTTTGTACGTTTGTTTTCAAAAAAAGGAAAACAGAAAGCAGAGTTCTTAGCTGTCCCAATGGGAGTAAAACCGAGTAAGAGTAAGGAGTCGGTGGTGGGGCCAACATCATAAAGATGCTGGCTGCCACGTCCTGTGTAAGTCAAAACTCTCTTCATTTTATTTTTATTTTTATTTTTTTTCTTTTCTTTCAACTTTACAAATTGGATTTGCCTTTGTATGACTTTGCCCATCACTTTGAGGCTTTGATTGATTGATCTCCACTTCTTCTCTTTCCAAAATCACTCACCTTCCAGCTCTAAACGTGCTAGCATGTCATCACACTTTTTTTTTTTTCTTTAACACCTCAAAAACGACATTAATTTCTCAAACGACCCCACTAGGGCCCACTTTCTATATCTCCCTCCATTCTGCTTTGCCCATTTCAAAAACACCCATTATTGGCTCTCCACACCAAAATATGTCACCAAACTGTTGGTCATCAAACTTTGACACATAAAAAACATAAATCCCATTGGTGAAAATTAGAAAAATAATAAATAAATAAATAAAAAACTTATGAAAACTTTAGCCTCATTCACTTTACGAATTTAAATTTTTAATTCGAGCTGAAATGTGATATTTTTTAAAAAGTTTTCACGTAATAAAAAAAATTAAGTGTGATATTTTTTATAAATTTTTTACTGTAAAAATTTATATCGATAAAATAAACGAGTCATTTGAAACTGCCCAAATAGTAATTTAGTAAACAGATTTTAATATATATAGAGCATGTGGGAGATGGGTACGGTACTCTGTCCAAAAGTTCTCCTAGGGGACAGTGCCATTTGCCATTTTCCATTGACAAACTCTCTCTCTCTTTCTCTCCAATGGCACTCTCCAAAATACACTCTTGAAACTTGTTTTTTTTTCATCTAAGTCCTCACATTCTTCTTCTTCCTTCATGTGATCATGTCTCGACCTTCTTCACTAATTTTCATCTTCTTCATCATCACCACCACCACAAATCTCCTTCCTCAGGTCTGCTCCGCACAACAAAACGACGATGAAAACGACGTCGTAAGAGTAGATCCGACACTGAACTTCGAAAACCCTAGGCTCCGAAGAGCCTACATAGCTCTCCAAGCATGGAAGCAGGCCATCTTCTCCGACCCTCTGAACTTCACCGCCAACTGGAACGGAGCCGACGTCTGCTCCTACTCCGGCGTCTTCTGCGCCCCGTTTCCGGCCAACCCCAAGCTCCGCGTCGTCTCCGGAGTCGACCTCAACCACGCCGACATCGCCGGATACCTCCCGCCGGAGCTCGGCCTCCTATCCGACCTCGCGCTCTTCCACCTCAACTCCAACCGCTTCTGCGGCGTCGTTCCGGCGACTTTCCGCCGGATGAAGCTCCTCCACGAGCTCGACATCAGCAACAACCGCTTCGTCGGAAAGTTTCCCAAAGTCGTCCTCTCTCTTCCGTCCTTAAAATACCTAGATCTCCGATTCAACGAGTTTGAAGGTTCTGTTCCGTCAAAACTCTTTGACAAAGATCTCGACGCCATTTTCTTAAACGACAACAGATTCCAGTTCGGAATCCCCAAGAATCTCGGAAACTCTCCTGTTTCTGTCCTCGTCATCGCGAACAACAATCTCGGAGGCTGTATTCCCGGGAGTATCGGAAAAATGGGGAAGACGTTGAACGAGATTATTCTTTTGAATGATAATCTTACGGGTTGTTTGCCTCCGCAGATCGGGCTTTTGAAGAATCTGATGGTGTTTGATGTGAGTTTTAATAATCTTCAGGGCTCGTTACCGGTAGAGATCGGGAATATGAGGAGCTTGGAGCAGCTTGATGTGGCGCATAATAAGTTTACGGGTGTTATTCCGTCGAGTATTTGTCAGCTGCCGAGGTTGCAGAACTTTACGTACTCGTTTAACTACTTCACCGGTGAGGCTCCGTCGTGCACGGCGGCCGGAGGAGGCGTGGTGTTTAATGGAAGACAGAATTGCATTGCTGGAAAGTCGGATCAGAGATCGAAAAGACAATGTGCTTCTGATGATGCTCGTCCTGTGGATTGCAGTAAGTTTGGCTGCGACGCTGGGGGCGGCAGCGGCGGTGGTGGAGGGTCCCCCAGACCTATTTCGCCCAGGAGACCGAGACCGATCCCGCAGCCACCATCTCCTAGACCTGCTCAGTCGCCTCGGCCGGTTAGGCCTTCGTTCCCTCCGCCGCCTCCGCCAACTTCTCGGTCCTCGCCTTCGACAAGATCAAGGTCTCCGCCGCCGGCTCCGGTGGTTCCGTCACCTGCGCCGCCTCACTCTACGCCAACAATTAAGCCTCCTTCGCTGACGCCCAATTCCCCTCCGCCGCCAACTAAGAAAGTCTCGCCGAGCACACATCTTCCACCGCCGCCGCCGTCACCAACATATCAGCATTATACGCCGCCAATAGCGACGTCTCCTCCTGCAAACCACAATCCTTCTTCACCACCGCCACCACCACCGTCGCATGCAGTTATACCAGGTTACCGCTCCCATAGTCCACCACCACCAACTCACAGTGGTTACCCTTACACTTCTCCTCCGCCGCCGCCAAGTCAAGAACATCATTGGCAATCTCCCCCGTCTTCAACGCCTAGTTACACCCCTCAATCGCCACCTCCACCTACTCAATCTCCGCCATCCTCAACGCCTAGTTACACCCCTCACTCGCCGCCGCCGCCAACTCACAATGGTCACACTTACACTTCTCCTCCACCACCAAGCCAAGAACATCGTTGGCAATCTCCGCCGCCTTCAACGCCTAGTTACAGTACTCCTCACTCGCCACCGCCACCTCAACACCCGTACCCTGGATCTCCGCCTCCGACACCAACCTACGAACATTACACCAAAGCCCCGCCACCTCCATCACATCATGAGCATTACTACAAAGCTCCACCACCATCTCCGCCGCCGCCACATCACGAGCACTACTACAAGGCTCCACCTCCGCCGCCGCCTCAGCACTCTTCGCCTCCTCCATCTGATGAGCCGTCGCATCCCCTGCCTCCTCCTCCGCCCGCAGGTTGTGAAACGCCCGAGTCACCGCCACCGCCACCGCCACCTCCGTCGCCCCCATGCGAGCATGATCATCCAGTTCAATCACCATCGCCGCCACCAACCCACCATGATCAACCGAGTCCAAACCCACCTCCAAAATCACACGAGCATTGGCACCGGCCCACTCCTTCCTCGTCTCCGCCGCCGCCGCCGCCGGCGCACGAGAACACGCCTCTTCCGCCGATAGTCGGGGTGTCGTACGCGTCTCCTCCGCCTCCTGTAATTCCCTACTACTAGTAATTAGTTAGTTTCATTTTGCAATCGGTTTGTAATTTATTTGTTTGCAAATGATAAGAGAGGAACCAAAAAAAACAAAAAAACAAAAACAGAGGGCGTATTATTTTGTTAATTTTAATTTGCTTGTATCTTCTTTTAAGCACTATATATTGATTTCTTTTCTTCTTTGATATATAACAATAATAATATTGTTTCATTTTATCAGTTTGTAATCCATTGCATTAATTTTAGTGGTCTAATCATTCAAAAATAGATCTTCGTATTTAACTCGAGCTAATAAACATACAATTTGGATTCAATAATATTCAATTAATTAGTCTGATATTGTTTTTAACTTTCTTGGGATAAGTTGGTGATGCATTAATTCAAAGTTGTTTCTTTTGAAGTTTGTAATACAAAAAAAAAAAAAAAAAAAGGTGTTCATGCATGCATGAACGCGTTGAACTGGTCTGCCGATATCCAACATGATTGCGTGCGATGCATAATTGTTTTGGGAGAAACTTAAAGACAAAAGTAATGCAAGCTAAGAAAAATCCCTCGTATCCCAAACTGACCTAAACAACACGGTTTGTTTCCTAACATCAACACGTGAAAAGTGATCGTTACGTGTTATTTTATTAATTCCAATGAGACTTTTGTTACACCCTTTTTTACCACGTAAAAAATTCATGATCATGTTAAGCGCATGTAATGAGACTTTATCATAGTGTCAATTTTTGATAGGATCAAAATTACATTAATTAAAAAATTATACAAAATAAATAATTTTTAATAACAACTGAAAAATATAAAACTATCAATAATTTATTTTTTTCCTGATCATGAGAAACTCCCATATAATGTTACCACGTAAATAAAATTAAGCATCTATCTCTGAATAAGAGACATAGTTGTAGTCTCACAATGGACCCATTTGATTTATGAATTAGAACTATGAGATTAAAATTATTCTTAATTTATGTGTATTTTTTATGAGAAAAAATACTATAACAAACTATGAACTATGATTCGAATTAAAGAACGAATTTTCTAACTAAATAGGCTCTGAAAATCCATTTTTGAATAATAAAAGAGAAAACTTTATTAGATCGTCTTTCGTCACTAAGCTACTAGTCCACATCACCAGTGTTCGTGAATTAGACACGGTTAATATCATATTTTAACATCAAAGATCTACTTAGAATTTTAAATTTTTGTTTGATTTGATCAAGATCATTAGGCAGTTTGGATTGATTCCTACAAACCAAAAGTGATGTAATATCACTTTCATTTAATATAGACAGTTGATAATTGAAGCGGTTGCCAAACTTCTGACAGTGGGAATTTATTTTTCGGGGACCTTATTGAAAGATTATTGTTGGCTACTGCTTCACTGACATATAAATTATTATCTAAGGTAACGACATGACCTGTGGGACAACTATGTTCGCCTAGCTGCTAGTACTAAAACAAGTTCACAAAAGTGACAACTAAAAGAGATCTCAATAAAGTAGAATGTGAGTGAAATGTCAAATTCTAAAGTAGTACTAGTATTTTATTAGTGCTTTTGAATTTTTGAGAGCACGAGGTTCCGTTCATTTTATTGATTTGAGTTTAAAATTTGAGTTTTGTTACAGTAAAAAGAGCACGAGGTTCCGTTCATTTTATTAATTTAAGTTTAAAATTTGAGTTTTGTTACAGTAAAAAGCTCTCATAAATAATCACATTTAACTTTTTTGCTATAATAAAAAGCTCTCACATAAAATCACATCTCAACTCGAATTAAAAACTCAAATCAGCAAACTAAACGGATCCTGATTACTTAAAACTAAACTTAAATTAAATTCTCTAAGGCCTCTTTCATTTCACCAATTCGAGTTTTATTATAGTAAAAAATTCTTAAAAATAGTCACATTTAACTTTTGTATTATAGTAAAAAAATTTCACATAAAATTACATCTAAACTCAAATTAAAAACTCGAATCAATGAACTAAACGGATCCTAATTAACTTTTGGTTAATTTTAATTTTCTACAATTTGATATGCCCACCCTAGTCCAAACCCAACTAATCTCATCTATAAAGTTCACTCTATTAGTAGATCATGACTAGTAAAATAACCAAATAATTGATATCCATTCATCAGTCCAGAAGAGAAAAGGCTGGCATCCAGTGAAGACATTTAACTCTTATTTTGTGGCAAAGTGGTAACAACTCATGAAGCTACCTCTTGTCAGTTTGTCTACTTTTGTTGCTTTGGAAGACAACCAAATTCACCCTTTCAACCTTCGTCTCTCTCTCTCTCTCTCTCTCTCTCTCTCTCTCACACACCCACACCCACACAAATATTGTGAAACCATTTTTTTTAATACATCACATCACCGTTTTGTATTGTGTTGGCCAAAATATATAGCACGTAGTTCCTTATCAAGTTACTTAACCAACTCTAAAATTCACACATAAAAAAATGGGAGATGTTTGTTAAAATGACTATATTAAAACAACTCTAATCATACTAATAATTTTATATTTTTAGTTAAAATAATTAATAATTTAACTACAACCTGCAATTTCAGAATCTCGCTCTTTCCCATCACGGTGGTCAGGAAGATGAGAATTGTGCGTGAATGAGCGCTTAACATCAATGGTAGAGTTGCATAGGTCCCTACCGATCTATCATTTATGGTCTTAGTGGTCAACTTATTACCGATGATCTTGTCTGTGAGGCTGAGAAATTATGTCTCGTATTTAGTTTTTATTTTGATGTAATAAATACGATGTTGATTCTACTGTTTCAGTTTTTATTATTTTGGCATGTAATAATGAAAGTTATCGTCCCACTCTTCTATTCGGCGTTGTGAGTGATTCTAGTGCTCTAGGTCTTTTAGTTTTGGTTGACTAATTTTATCTGTCAATTGTAGTGGCTTTATTATATAAGCTTTTATCGCGCTCGATTATTAATGTGCTGAGAGAGTTTTTCTCATTGAGACTTGACACTCATATTTGCCTTTTACCTCATATGTCTTTACTAGTGGATCCAGTTTTCATTTGCGGTCAACTACTCTTATTTTTAGTGGTCATTTGTGACTATTTTAGACTTTGTATTGATTTAGTTATTAAATGAACATTTTCTGTTAAAAAAAGGAATAAATTTAAAGGTGAGACATTTAAAAAAAAAATATCAACGTAAATGATTTGGTGAGTGTTCGAGAAATATTGCATTAAACTGCAAAGGAAGTGCTACGCCACAAAAATATGAAAAAATAGAGAATTTACCTTTTAAAGAGAGTGCATGAGTTTAAACTTTTACCTATTATTTTTAATAAATACATTTTTATTAGTGTAATTATTTAACTAAAAAAATTATAAATTAAGAGTAAAGAGTGAAAATATTAACTCATACACATTTAAGAGAGGTATTGAGATTATGACATGAGAATATTTTTCAAGCCCAAAAAACGTGACAAAAATCTGTTTGTTAACGGGCTGGGCCTGAGTCCCTAAAAGACTTGGATCATTGTATAAGGGCCCATAATTAAGTGGACCCAAAGCATACAAAGACAAGTTCAAGCAGTGGGTTGTGGGTCTGGTAGAGTAGGCCTATGAAAAGCCCAATATTGCATGATACCCAAAAGAAGGAGATTTCAGATTCACAAATACTAATCGTTGACGAAGCTAACTCCAATTACAAAAATTTCCTAATTTAAGTTCCACTTTCGGATTCAGACCCTCAGACAACCATCTTCTCTCTCTCTCTCTCTCTCTCTCCCACCACCTTTTTCGCGTGTTTCTGCGTTGTTTCTGGAACTTTCTTCGGTGATCTTCGTACAGTTCCTCCCATGGACGACTTCTCCGCCGACCATTCCCCTGTCGATCCCTCCTTCGATAGCGTGGTACTCTCTCTCTCTCTCTCTCTCTCTCAAAATTTGAGATCTGCTAAAAAATAACGAATTTTAGATTTCTAATCTCTAGATCTCTTTCTCTCTCTTGGAAATTATGATGATCAATTGGATTTTTTTTCCCCTGTTTGATGTAATTCGAATAGCTACGCATGAGCTGCCTGGATTGTTATGCGTGTTGGATCGTTGGGGCGGAGAAGAATTTTCTAGGAAAGTTTTTTTTTTTTTTTCCCTGAAAAATTCAGCTCATTACGGCTCTAAATTTTCACAATTTTATGTTTTTTGTGTGTGTTCTTGTTGATTGATTGAGACATTGTGTTTTGTCCACTTTTTTGTGATCGATCTATTCTTTAGGGCACAATTTCCTTGATGTTGTAAAGCTTACTTTTTTTTTGTCCTAGGATTATCTGAATTTCTTTTATTCGTTGATGCTATAAAGTTTATACTTTCCCGTAATATTCTCTCGAGCAAACTTTACTGTTTTTTGGTGAAAAAAATAAAAATATGAAAAGACTCTGTTGTGACATTCAATTTAATTAGAGGAAAGCATACATTTAATTGAAAGTAGCTTCGTGTATTTAGTTAAATATAATGATATTTGTATTAATATGTCTCACTTGGGTTTTAATGCTCTTTTTTTTTATTAGAGCACAATTTTGAGAGAGAATAACTTGCATTAAAAAAAAAAAAAAAAAAAACTTCTGTTTACACTAAAGTCAACATGGTTATACATGCAAGAGTTCTATGTCATATTGCTGAGCATGCCTCAATTTTTCTTTTTTAATAAAAATTTAGCAATAAATCAGATAATGAAATCTTCTCAATGCGAAAAGAAACGTTGTATTTGAAGAAACCTGTGCTGATAAGTGATGAATCATTCCTCATATTAAATACCATGAAATATATCTTCCTCTGGAAAAATTTTGAGCTGGATGGTAATCGTTTATGAAGGTTCTTTTGTTTTTCATCTTCTTTTTGATGTCTTGTGCATTTGTCAAACTGATTACTGACTTTTGGCGTTTAACCGGAAAATGTGGTGAAGAATGCCGGAGCAAAAGGGTTCAACGCCGGATTGATAGTGTTGCTCGTTGTTGTTGGGATACTGCTGGTGTTTTTAGTCGGGAATTATGTACTCTACATGGTTGCGCAGAAGAGACTTCCTCCGAAAAAGAAGAAGCCCGTCTCGAAGAAGAAGATTAAGAAAGAGCGACTGAAGCAAGGCATCTCAGCTCCAGGAGAATAGATATGGCGGATTGTGCCGAGAAGTTTTTCACCATGTCTGGTGTCGAGAGATTTCTGTCCCTTTTCCATTTTTTTTTATTGGTCGTCTATAGTCATTGAAAATTGACTTCATCATCATAATTAACTTTACATGAGTTTAGAGACTAGAGTTACAATGCCCCCTTTGTTTTTGACATGGTTTTTTTGCATCCCTTTATTTCCATCTTTTAGATTGTCGTTATATGTGTCAATTGTTTGGAGAAATGCCTTGCAGAAGCGTTTTGTTTTTGGTAACCATGCAGCTCACGAGTCACGAGTCACGCCTCGTGACATTATATCGCAATGAGTTATAATTATAAACTAAAGGCAACCGGGAGCTTGGTAGATGCAAATTATATAATTAGGTTATGTTCATTTCACCGATTTGAGTTTTATTACAGTAAAAAGTTTTCAGAAACAGTCACATTTAATTTTTTTACTACAATAAAAAATTCTCACATAAAATTACATTTTAATTCGAATAAAAAACTCAAATCAATTCTAACTCGAATGGCCTGCGTAGTGTCAAATTTTTCTTACGTTCTTTCCCCATTTATTTTTTTTTTTCACTCTTCGTCTCAGCATCCTAACGTAAAATTGGTTACATCTTAAGATCCTGAACACGACATTTTTTGCTTGGCTGTGGCATGAAATATCTAAAGGGATGTTTAGTTAGAGGATTCAAACAATGATTTTCATAGTTCACTACAATATTTTTTCTCATAAAAAATACACGTAAATAAAAAATAATTTTAATTACATGATTCTAATCTATGAATTAAACATCTCCTAAATTAAAATCAAGACCATATCACTTTCAGAATGTAGAAGCAGGAACGCAACAGATCCAATCCAATCTAAAATCCACCAGCATATTGCGGAAAAAAAAAACTAAAAACTAAACTGAAATTCATCCCCATAAGTTTTTTCAAAAGGAAAAAGCTGCGTGCCAGTAAATTGTGATATTCACACTTTTTAAGTGTAAAGAATTCAATCGAATGGGGAAGATCCCAAAATCCTACGGTATTCATGCAAATAATGCCCCCAACAGAAAACCGAATAAAATCGGAAAAAGTACAAAATTACACCCTTTCATAGTTGTATTTTTATCATTGATCATGCAAGAATGTAAGAATAAAGTTCCGTTTATTTTACCGATTTAAATTTAAAATTTAAATTTTATTATAGTAAAAAACTCTTAAAAACAGTCACATTTAATTTTTTTACTACAGTAAAAAACTCACATAAAGTCACATCTTAACTTGAATCAGTTAACTAAACAAATCTTAAATCAACTTAAACAAAAAGAGAATAACTAAACAAATCCTAAATCAACTTAAACAAAAAGAGCAACGCTAAACGCAAGAGACCATATTAATTTCACATCAATTTTTAGAGATCGATTCTAGAAAAATTGCAATAAAATTCTATGCAATTCGACTCGCCAGTTGATACTTAATAGCCTCTGTCTCTCTCTCTAAGGCTAGTCGCTAGTTTCATTTAGGTTCCCCTTTTCAGGAAAACAAAACGCACGTTCTCGGGGTACCTGAATTTTCGGGCTAAAATACCAAGTAGCTCTTTCTCATAGTAATCGTATGAAGTATCCCAAAACAAGCAACACATAATACATATTATTTACTTTATAAACATCAAATATCCAGAAGTAAATAGTTTCATGTTATTTATGTCTAGGCGAGAAACCAAGTATATAAAAGAGGAAAAACGAGAAATCCAGATCAGACAAGACAGTGACTAAACAATTATAGGTATCATATCATCACACTTAAAAAGGCACAACTCTTTCACGTCCAGGCAGATACCATCAAGCTCCACGCCCCATCGTCTGCTCTGCTGGAGGAATCATAACCAACACTGCTTGAGCATTGAATCCTGGATGAGGCAGCCGGCGACGAAGCTCACGGCCTTCCTGGCAAAGGGCACATGTGTGGCAGAAGATGTGAGTTGCGAAGTCGCATGCAGTCTCGCACTGTTCGCGTTGCCATTCACCTTCCACAAAGCTACCGCAGCACCCACATGACCTGTTAAGCGCTTCACAGCTGCCCTGCTCGTACCCAAAAACCATACAAGGAACAACAATCAGCAAGCTTGTTCTTTACTTTAGCATTACATCAGTTTCCCTTGCATTTTCAGCTTTTCAGGATACATATCTTCACACAAACAAAACAGGCCAAGCAGGTCGTGTAACAGAATTTCATAAGCACTATAAATATCGTGGAGGCATACAAGCAAAACCACCTTCTACGAAGAAGAATAAACACTTCATTAATAAATAAATATTAGCTTATGAGTTTTGAGACTTTAATTCCTCGTACCTAAAGTTAAAGAACAAGCAATTTTACTAAGCTTGGCTTGAAATGCTTCGTGTTAGAACTTACAAGTGAGACGTCACAAAAAAAGAAATGGGATCATAAGCAAAATGAACGTGAGGACCCACAAGTACAATCAAACTACAATCCGAAACATAATTGAATCAAACAATGAAGTTACCGAACCAAAGCAAATATCGAGCGAGTGAAACAAATAGCTTACCTCTAGGTTAAACTTCCTACGGATAGCAGAACGGCTGGGATATGAAAGCCACGGAGCAAGTAAGTTTCCACCAAAAAAGAAATTCCCAAGAAGATACAAGCCCGAGTAAGGTAAACAGTGATTGGCAAAAGTCCCAGTACTCGATCTAAGTCTTTCAACATTGCTTCCATACAGTACACAAGGAGCCAAGCTTCCAAGAAGACCTAGCCACAATCAACATCAATAATTAAAGTAGAAAAAATTGAAAGATTTTCTACCACAATACTGGATTCATTTCAACTGTTCAACAATTTATACGAACGTATTGTAATTTATAACCAATAATTGGAGTCTAATCAGATAACTAGAATTCAACGTTCTGTGCATTTGCTAAAGACAAAGGTATGAAACTTATCAAACACAGATATTTGTTACAAAATTTCAAGTCAATTATAAAACAATTGAAACAGATATTCATAGAAATAGCAAAATCAAAGTCCAAATATCTAGGTTTGGACTAATGAATTAGAGGCAATCCCAATGGAAGCACATTTCCAACGCAAAATCCCCCCAATTTACCCTAGACTAAAGACACTAAATCTAAAAAATTTATCAAAGACAATCCATTTATTATGAATTAACAAGTTAATTAAAGCAATTGGAACAGATATTCATAGAAATAACCGTAAAACCAAATTCCAAATATTTGAGTTCGATTCGAATTCCCAAAAAACCCCCTAAATTATCCAAAATCAAAGCCACGAAATCCAACGAAAAGCACAAAACTCATAAATTCATCCCTTCAAAATCAAAAGCCCCAAATTTTGTTTCGAAAAACTATGGAAACCAAAACTTACAAACTTCAAGATCGCTGCTACAGAACTCATCGTTGCGTCCGAGGCAAGCGAAGAGGCTGGAGTCCCACTGAGTCCTCCCAATCGGCTCCCCAACCACGCTCCCGTGACCTAACGGCAGTCCATCGGCGGTCCATTCCTCCGGCGCCGGAGATTTCGCCGTCGGTTTTGCCTCCGGCGAAGCCTTCAGAGGCTTCTCGTCGATTCTCTCAGCTCCCTCGACTTGATTGCCAAGCAGAGGGCTTGATTCCTCGTGGCTATTGTTGTCGTTGCTGTTGTTGATCGCCATGATCGTTCGAAGAGCTCGAAAATACCTAAATTGAAATCGGACAGACAAAGAGAAAGAGAGAGAAACGGACAAGGAATTCGAAACTCGGGGTCTTTGGATCGGTAAGAAGGAAATAAGAGAGAGAGAGAGAGGGAGAAGCGGTCAACAGGTCGCTGTCCTTATGTTGTTTGTGTCGGTACAACAACTCGTGATTCCACGTCTTACACGTTTAACCGGTTATCGGTAATTCAGCCAAAAAAAAACCGGTTATTGGTATTGCCGCGTTTCTAATCCGGTGTTGCTAATTTGCTAGTACTATTCCAAGGACTTTTTGGATCCTCGCCACATGATTTCTTTTTTTTTTTTTTTTAAGGTTTTAACACAACTGCCCTTGAATTTATCGTGCTTCAACAATTTACCCCCACAAACTTTTAATTTTAATAATTTAGCCCATAAATTTACATAATTTTGGTAATTTACCCCTTTGTTGCTTCACGTTCCCAAGCTCTTTTCCGAACATGCCTGGATTCTCAGCTCGTTCTTTCTGCTTCTGGTTGTTAGTCTCACAAGCAAGGTCGTCTGAGAGCAAGCAAGATCTCCATTCTCGGCAGGATTTGTCATCCTGGCCTCTAAATAAGGGGATGAGGTCTCTGTTTTTTATTTTTTATTATTTTATTATTTTTTATATCACTATATGATAGTAACATAATATTGCCTCGTTCATTTTACCGATTCGAGTTTTTAGTTTTAGGTTTCTACAGTAAAAAGCTCTCAGAAAATGTCACATCTAACTTTTTCTGTTACAGTGAAAAACTCTAAAAAAATATCACATATCAGCTCGAATTAAAAACTTGAATCCGCGAAGTGAACGAGGCCCTCATTCTAGAGCGAATCTATTGTATGAACTCTTTTGTGACCTCGTCGTCATTGACCTCGCACGTATTGAATATAAAAGCAAAGCAAAAACTCAAAGAAAGTAGCATGCACAAAAAATTTAGAGTTATTCACTCCTGATATGAAAATTACGTCCACTGTCGTGTTGAGAGTTTCACTAAGAGAGACTAGGCCCCGTTCACTTCGCTGATTCGAGTTTAGAATTCGAGTTGAGATGTGACTTTATGTGAGAGCCTTTTTATTGTAGTAAAAAAGTTAGATGTGATTGTTTATGAGAACTTTTTACTGTAGAAAAACTCAAATTCTAAACTCGAGTCAGTGAAGTGAACGGGACAGCTTCGTTCATTTTGCGGATTTGAGTTTTCAATTCGAGCTGAGATGTGATATTTTGTGAGAGCTTTTCACTGTAGCAGAAAAAGTTAAATGTGACATTTTCTGATAACTTTTTACTGTAAAAACCTAAAACTAAAAATTCGAATCAGTGAAATAAACGAGGCCTAAAAGTACACACAATGCTTAGATGTGCAAAGGCGCATTTAGAGTTACCCAATGGTTGTTATGATGTATTTATACCATTCCAAGTAGGAATATAAGACTTGTCCCTAACTTGGACTTATTCTTGATCAGCTAATTTAGAGGAATTTTTTTTTTTTTTTAATATGAATAAAAGAACCTTCTAGACGATATTTTTCTAATTTTAAGGATTTATTCATGTCTCTTCATACCTATCTTGATATTCTCCAAACTACAAACAATTCAAACAGAAACGTCAAAAAACCGAACCAACGGAGAAAAGAGAAATTCAAACTAGAGAAAAATAAGAGGGAGATTTACTTGGTTCGGATCAATTGATCCTACTTCCAAGGCAAAGTCAAGTAATTAGGAGCATTAAGTTCTTAATACGATAAATAATTAATCAATCAATAGGATTAAATTGCAAATCATAGAGAAAAGGAAATTACTTAATTATAAAAAATAAAATCACAATCCAAGGTAAATTCACCATCAACAAAGCAACAAAGCTAATTAAAAGAGAGAGTTTATAAATCTCCCAATCTTCGTGCTCTTCCACTTCTTCTTGCACACAATTTTTTGACATTTTCCTTCTCTTAAATTGTTGAAAACTGAAAATAAAACTAAAACTGAAAATAAAACTAAAACCTCCAAATGAAAATATTTCTTTTTTTTTTCCTCTCACAAAAATGGCTTAAAAGCCTTAAATTTTGCCCTATGGCTGCCTCTTCTCTATCTTTTCTTTCTTTCTGGTACTTAGAGAAGCTGCTGATGGGGCCTTCAAAATGGTGCTAAAAAAACCCTCAAGAACTTAGACAATTTAAATGCACAAAAATTGGTAAAATAATTGTATTTCATAGAGTTATCAACTTTCTTTTGTAGCATATTATATAACATCAGGCATGTGTGGTTTTTTGGCACAGACTATTTGGGAAATGTTATTCTCCTAGAAAGTACTGAAATGGATTCTATAGACAACTTTTGAACTTGGAATCATGGATTCTTTAACATTTTTCTTTTGCATTTTTATGAGAAGAGGGTTATTTTATTCATGGTTTAATTTTTTTTATTTTATTGCAAGGAAATTTAATGAGGCATAACGTATATTGTTCCATTCATAGCTAGTTGGCTATAATGTTCTAAGTTTTAACATAATTACAGTTATAAAAACCTTGTTTATTTCACCGATTTGAGTTTTTAATTTTAGTTTTGTTACAGTTAAAAGCTCTCATAAAAAGTCATATCTAATATTTTTGTTACAGTTAAAAATTATCACATAAAATCACATTTGAACTCAAATTAAAAACTCAATTCGGTGAACTAAATGATGCCATAATTAAAAACTTCAAACATAGGACCATATATAGAGTACGATCGGTCCTCATTTAATAACAGAGATATTATAGAAAAACATGACATAATATTGCGGATATTCAATCACATTTCTTAATTCGTAAAGACGCGTGGCAGAAGACTTGACACTTCAACTTGATCGGTCTGGCGGCCATACAACAGAATGCAATTGTGCACATATCATGGCTACACCCTCTGCAATGCACTGCACTGCACTACGAATATTGTAGCACAATTATCCTTTTATGTGGTTAATGCAACACACTCAGGTTTCATTCATTTTACCGATTCGAGTTTTGCTATAATAAAAAGTTCAAAAACAGTCACATTTAATTTTTTTACTATAATAAAAAGTTTTCACATAAAGTCACATCTCAACTCGAATCAGCAAACTAAACAGGCCCTCAATCCTCGTTTCAAGTGAAAAAAAAAAAGAAAAAAAAGCCCTCAATTCCTGCTACTTGTATTGCAAGGTCATGCATGAGACCATGCATCTTTTATACTTTTATAGTGCACCGTTCATCTATTTCCCCTTCTTGAAAGAATGACCTTCCAACTATATCCATGAAGTAAACACAACCCACTTCCTCCGGACATTAATAGCTTGAATTTTGTGGAGGAAAAACACACCCTTATACCCACACATAATAAAAATAAAATGAAACAAAATAACAAAAAAATAGAGAAGACAAAGATTTAAGTGGTTCGAAAAAATTTCTTATGTTCACGGAAGAAGAAAAAAAAATCACTAACAATTTCAGAATTACACACTCATACAACTTTCTCACATTCTCTCTATCCAAAACTCCTTACACACTTTTCTCTCCTTACACGCTTATCTTTCTCCTTACTTTTCTCTCTTTTTCTACATTATTCTATGAACACACTTTTCTCTGAGCATATAAAGTCTTACACAAAATACTTATTTATAGACTCCTAATAATAACATTTGCTCAAAAATAAAAAATAATGACATACGAAATAATAAATTTTAAAAATTAATTTGAGACACTTACCTAAAATAAAGGAAATTAAGAAAAAACTGGCTGCTATTTCCAACGATAGAAACTTTCTGGTAGAAGTTTGTCATGATGAGAATCGCGAGGTGATTGTGAGGAAAAGGAGAGAGACTCACTCATTTGTCCGACAAGAAGAGGTTATTGGGAGGGACGATGATAGGATGGTGATTGTAAAGCTTTTGCTTGAGGGCAAGTTTAAAGATAATGTAACGATCATTCCCATCGTGGGAATGGGAGGGCTAGGAAAAACCACACTGGCTCAGGCCTCGTTTATTTTACCGATTTAAGTTTTCAGTTTTAGGTTTTTACAGTAAAAAATTATCAGAAAATGTCACATCTAACTTTTTTTGCTACAGTAAAAAGCTCTCATAAAATATCACATCTCAGCTCGAATTGAAAACTCGAATCTGCGAAGTGAACGAGGCCAGTGTTTATAATGATCAAAAGGTGTAGGGTTGGCAATTCAGGTAACGGCACGATGATACGGTGATACGATTCGAAATCATCATGATATTAGCGAGTTTGGGTCATAATCAGGTTGACACGATTAACACGAAAATGAGTTAGGTTAAGGTTGACATCTTAACATGAAGAGACGATTAACTATATGTGTTATCTACAATCTAATGATGTGTAATATAACATGAAAGTTTATATGACATATTAAATACAAACAATGTGAATTTAAATATTTATAGGTAAAATTCATTTATTTTTATTAATGGAAAAGATAAATTGACCAATAAACATGTTACACATGTCTTGACCGTGTTAAATAAATTATTATTATATTAGTGATTTATTCAATATATTAATTTAAACGGGTTATACGGGTTGACACGATTAACACGATTAATAAATGAGTCGTGTTTGAGTTGACATTTTTAACACTTTTAATAATCAAGTCGTATTTAGATTGATGTTTTCTGACACGATTAATAAACGAGTTGACACGAACACAACCTACTAACACGAATTGTCACCCTTAAAAAGGTGAATGAACATTTTGAGTTAAAGATTTGGGTGTGTGTTTACGATGATTTTGACTCGAAACTAATCGTTCGAAACATTTTGAAGTCTTCGAATAGTTATAACAATGTGGGGGAGAATGAATTATTGGATCAAATGCAAAAGAATCTTCGAAATGTGCTTGGAGGAAAGTGATATCTTCTCGTACTAGATGATGTGTGGAATGAAGATCATGAAAAGTGGAGGCAATTAAAGGACTTAATGGTAAGTAGAGTGATAGTAACTACTCGGAGTAAAACAGCCGCGCAGATTACTGGCACAACGCAGTTGTATCAATTGGGCATTCTAGACGAAGAGAAATCGTGGATTCTGTTCAAAATGGTGGCTTTTGAGGAAGGAGAAGAGCCACAAAATGCCAGTATTGTAGAAATTGGAAAGACAACTGTGA